CTGTGATATTTGTCTCTAAAATTAATAGGCACATTGTTGGTGAACGTCTCTGGACAACGCATCGGATCTTCATGCTCGACATCAGAAGATTGTGAGTTAATGTGTTTTAGAGAATTAGGGAGAGGACGTGGGGATTGTTGGCTCGGAAAGTGTAGCTGTTTGAAGGGAAAAACAGACACCAAGCTGGCTGGATGCAAAACTAATCGTGATTGTCCCCCTTCTCCTGAATGCCCAAGAAATCACCATAATGTATGTGTTATTGGAAAATGTATTTGTTTACCAGCGTAATTTGATCAGTCAAAATAACACACCGTTCCTCTTGCCAAATATATGTATTTTGATGATGAAATTCTATTATCCACCATGTTGCTACTCCTATCATAAGTACTTCAATAATAACATTAGCAAGATCAAAATTTCACAATTATGATCCTACATGTTTAAATCTATACTTCAGACACAATTATTTTTTTCCTTCTTTTATATATTATACATATAAAAAATTACTTTCTATAAGGTTTTTTAGTTCTGAAATCATTCTAACTGGTACTAAAGTGATATGGAGAAAAAGAAGGAAAAGAACGAAAATGAACGAACTAAAAGAGATATCTATTACTTATGTCCCTCCCCAAATTTGATAATGAATAAATATAGTCTATTTTTCTCAAAATTTAAAGAAACGCTAAGGAATGATATGTAAAAATTATTCCTTGTAGATGGTTAAATTGTAAGGAATGATAAGGAATTCACTATTCCCGATCATTCCTTTGGTTACCATTTAGAGAAGCTACCCATTTGTTGGTCCCATTCGATTAATAATATTTCATTTTTTGCTTCAAATAAAATATGTTAATATTATATGAACGCAAGGTTTGTGCTTTTATAATTCTCTTTATTGTTTTGTTTTATGTTTCTTGCCTTGTTTGATCTTGGTGGCTAATTTTCATGAAATTTAATCTCTAATTTTTGTTTTGATTGATATTTTATTCTTACAAATTTACGAAGAATTTTGAGATGTCCTCAGTCGGGAAAGAGGGTTGAAGATAAAACTAACCACACACCTCTATTTGATAAATAAAATTTTCACGATATTGTAAGGGGATCCCCAACAATTACATTAAATTTAGTGCTGAAATTAAACAAAATTTTATTTATTGGTGTCATAAATGCTTTTTGTCATCTCACCATATTTTACATCAAAAGTAATATTATATATTATTTAATGCTTTTTCAGTTTTAAATAATTATTTCATTACATATAGATTATTATTTCTCCTTTTATTATTTGAAAGTGATAAGTGATGATAGTCATTTAGTGACTTATTTTGCAAATAAAAATATGATTACATTTTTAATTATGTGAAATAAATTAAAATCACAAAGAGTAAAATATATTTTTTATTATTTACGAATTTGATATTAATAAAACTATATTATTAAATAAAACATAATAAAATATGTATTTTAAATATTTGGTGTGGGGAATAGTGAATACTATTCAAATTACACCGAATTCGATGCAATGGTGTCAAATTTAGTGTTTTGTTGGAGATGAAATTACATTAAATAGAAGATTATTACTAATTATTTTATTGTATACATTAGATCTTCATGATTAAAAAATTTTCTACTTACTAAATGGGACTATTAGGTGGACAAAATATTTGCATATTTTGATTCGATTAGTTAAAAATGCAGATATCCATATCTTTACGAAGTAATGCAAATAATTATATACAATATTTGTAAGGAACAAATCAAATCACAATAACTTATATTACTATGAATAATATATAATCCGATCCGATGTATGCATATATATATAATTTATATAAATATCATATATTATATTATTTTTAATTAAATTTATTCTATTAGTTATTAGAAATTAAAAATAAATATAATACTATGTTAATTTATTTTTAATTTGTGTTTTATTTGTATGGATCAAATCGGATACCCAACTAAAATCTTCAAAAATTGGATATGCGGGAAATTGTATGTCGAGATGGCTACGAATCGAATCAAATCGGATAACTGATTAATCAGACGAAACAAATCGGCTCACATCACATATACCTCCAAATTCTGGATATTCGATATGTGCCCACCCATATTGTTCTTATCATTACTACACTGGCCGACAAAATGGAAAATACACTATACTTTTCTATAATAAGCTATTATGTAATATATTTAACTAAACAGAAAATATCTTTCTGTTTTATATAAATGGTTTGATTGGTTACAGCTTAAGAAAGATATATTCTATTTAGTTAAACATATTACACTGCAAAAAAAGCTACTTAAATTAGACTTTATTCAACGTTATACACGTAATTACAACGTCCATGTTACAAGAAACATTATAAAAGCATCCGAACAATCATGTCAAAATTACTCAAACCTTACCAAAAGGAATTCAGAAACTATAAACTAGTAACAAAAAGACATGACAGCATCAAAAACAACAATCTTCATCATTTTCATCCTTTGCCTTTTAGGTCATTTCCTTTCTTATATATTTTCTCTTCGAAATGGATAAAATTGATTTAAGAAACCAACTAAAACGTGATATTTTTCTTTAAAATTAATAGGCACATTGTTGGTGAACGTCTCTGGACAACGCATCGGATCTTCATGCTCGACATCAGAAGATTGTGAGTTGATGTGTTTTAGCGGATTATGAGGAGGACGTGGGGAGTGTTGGCTCGGAAAGTGTAGTTGTTGGTAACGAAACACCAAGACCAAGCTGGCTGGGTGCAAAACTAATCGTGATTTTCCCCTTCTCCTGAATGCCCGAAAAACCACCATAACGTCCGTGTTATTGGAAAATGTATTTGTTTACCAGCATAATTTGATAAGACAAAATTCCACACCGCTCCTCTTGCCAAATATATGTATTTTGATGATGAAATTCTATTATCCACCGTGTTGCTATTCCCATCATAAGTACTTCAATAATAACACTAGCAAGATCACAATTTCATAGTTATGATCTCACATGTTTAAATCTATAGTTCAGCCACACATGTTTTTTTTGCCTTCTTTTATAGATTATACATAGAAAAAAATACTTTGTGTAAGGTTTTTTGGTTCTCAAATCATTCTAATTGGTACTAAAGTGATATATGGAGAAGAAGAAGGAAAAGAACGAAAATGAACGAACTTAAAGAGACATCTATTACTTATGTCCCTCCCTAAATTTGATAATGAATAAATATAGTCTATTATTCTCAAAATTTAAAGAAACACTAAGGAATGATATGTAACAATTATTCCTTGTAGATGGTGTAAATTGTAAGGAATGATAAGGAATTCACTATTTCTACTCATTCCTTTGGTTACCATTTAGAGAAGTTCCCCATTTGTTGGTCCGATTCAATTAATAATATTCCGTTTTTAGCTTCAAAGAAAATATGTTAATATTATATGAACGCAAGGTTTGTGCTTTTCTAATTCTCTATATTGTTTTGTTTTATGTTTCTTGCTTTGTTTGTTCTTAGTGCCTAATTTGCATGAAATTTCATCTCTAGTTTTTGTTTCAATTGATATTTTATTCTTACAAATTTACGAAGAATTTTGAGATGTCCTCAGTAGTGAAAGACGGATGAAGATAAAGCTAACCACACACCTCTATTTGATAAATAAAGTTTTCACGATATTGTAAGGGGATCCTGAGCAATTACATTAAATTTAGTGTTGAAATTAAACAAAATTTTATTTATTGGTGTCATAAATGCTATTTGTCATCTCACCAAATTTTACATCAAAAGTAATATTATATATTATTGAATGCTTTTTCAGTTTTAAATAATTAATTTATCACATATAGATTATTATTTCTCTTCTTACTATTTAAAAGTGATAAGTGATGATAGTCATTTAGTGAATTATTTTGCAAATAAAAATATGATTAAATTTTTAATTATGTGAAATAAATTAAAATCACAAATAATAAAATATATTTTTTATTATTTACGAATTTGATAGTATTTAAACTATATTATTAAATAAAACATAATAAAATATGTATTTTAAATATTTGGTGTGATGAATAGTAAATACTATTCAAATTACAGCGAAATCGATGCAATGATGTCAAATTTAGTGTTTTGTTGAAGATGAAATTACACTAAATAGGAGATTATTACTAATTATTTTATAGTATACATTAGATCTTCATGATTAAAACATTTCTACTTACTAAATGGGACTATTTGGTGGACAAAATATTTGCATATTTTGATTTTATTAGTTAAAAATGCAAATATCCATATCTTTACGCAGTAATGCAAAAAGAAACAAATCAAATCACAATTACTAATATTACTATGAATAATATATAATCTGATCCGGTGTATGCATATATATAATTTGTATAAATATCATAGATTATATTATTTTTAATTAAATTTATTCTATTAGTTGTTAGAAATTAAAAAGAACTATAATACTATGATAGTTTATTTTTAATTTGTATTTTATTTGTATAGATCAAATTGGATACCCAACTAAAATCTTTAAAAATTGGATATCCGGGAAATTGTATGTCGAGATGGCTACGAATCGAATCAAATCGGATAACTGATTAATCGGACGAAACAAATCGGCTCACATCACGAATACCTCCAAATTCTGGATATTCGATATGTGCCCACCCATATTGTTCTTATCATTACTGCATTGGCCGACAAAATGGAAAATACACTATACTATTCTATAATAAGCGATTATGTAATATATTTAACTAAAGAAAATATCTTTCTTTTTTATATATATAGGTTTGATTGGTTACAGTTTAAGAAAGATATTTTCTATTTAGTTAAACATATTACACTGCAAAAAAGCTACTTAAATTAGACTTTAGTCAACGTTATACACTTAATTACAACGTCCATGTTACAAGAAATATTATATAAGCATCCGAACAATCATGTCAATACTACGCAAAACTTACCAAAAGGAATTCAGAAACTATAAACTAGTAACAAAAAGACATGACAGCATCAAAAACAACAATCTTCATCGTTTTCATCCTTTGCCTCTCAGGTTATTTCCTTTCTTATATATTTTCTCTTCTAAATTGATAAAATTGATTTAAGAATCCAAATAAAACGTGATATTTGTCTTTAAAATTAATAGGCACATTGTTGGTGAACGTCTCTGGACAACGCATCGGATCTTCATGCTCGACATCAGAAGATTGTGAGTTGATGTGTTTTGGAGGATTAGGAGGAGGACGTGGGGAGTGTTGGCTCGGAGAGTGTAGTTGTTGGGAGCGAAAAACCGAGACCAAGCTGGCTGGGTGCAAAACTAATCGTGATTGTCCCCCTTCTCTTGAATGCCCGAAAATCCACCATAACGTCTGTGTTATTGGAAAATGTATTTGTTTACCAGCATAATTTGATCAGTCAAAATTACACACCGCTTCTCTTGCCAAATATATGTATTTTCATGATGAAATTCTATTATCCACCATGTTGCCACTCCCATCATAAGTACTTCAATAATAACACTAGCAAGATCACGATTTCATAGTTATGATCTCGCATGTTTAAATCTATAGTTCAGCCACACATGTTGTTTTTTGCCTTCTTTTATAGATTATACATAGAAAAAAATACTTTGTGTAAGGTTTTTTGGTTCTCAAATCATTCTAATTGGTACTAAAGTGATATATGGAGAAGAAGTAGGAAAAGAACGAAAATGAACGAACTTAAAGAGATATCTATTACTTATGTCTCTCCCTAAATTTGATAATGAATAAATATAGTCTATTATTCTCAAAATTTAAAGAAACACTAAGGAATGATATGTAACAACTATTCCTTGTAGATGGTGTAAATTGTAAGGAATGATAAGGAATTCACTATTTCTACTCATTCCTTTGGTTACCATTTAGAGAAGTTCCCCATTTGTTGGTCCGATTCAATTAATAATATTCCGTTTTTAGCTTCAAAGAAAATATGTTAATATTATATGAACGCAAGGTTTGTGCTTTTCTAATTCTCTATATCATTTTTTATGTTTCTTGTTTTGTTTGTTCTTGGTGGCTAATTTGCATGAAATTTCATCGCTAATTTATGTTTTGATTGCTATTTTATTCTTAAAAATTTACGAAGAAATTTGAGATGTCCTCAGTAGTGAAAGAGGGGTTAATATAAAACTAACCACACACCTCTATTTGACAAATAAAGTTTTCACGATATTGTAAGGGCATCCCGAACTATTACATTAAATTTAATGTTGAAATTAAACAAAGTTTTATATGTTGGTGTCAGAAATGCTTTTTTCATCTCACCAAATTTTACATCAAAAGTAATATTATATATTATTTAATGTTATTTTTTATTTTTAAATAATTATTTTTATCACATATAGATTATTATTTTTATTTTTTATTATTTGTAAGTGATAAGTGATAACAGTCATTTAGTGATTTATTTTTAAAATAGAATATAGTTAAATTTTTAATTATGTGAAATAAATTAAAATCACAAATAATAAATGATATTTTTAATTAATTAAGAATTTGATAGTAATTGAACTATATTATTAAATTAAACATAGTAAAATATGTGTTTTAAATCTTTGCTATGATTAGTAGTGAATACTATTCAAATTACACCGAATTCGGTACAATGATGTCAAATTTAGTATTTTGTTGGAGATGAAATTACACTAAATTTGGTGTTTTAATACCTTGTTGGAAATTCTTACTAACTATTTTATTGTATATATTAGATCTTCATGATTAAAAATGGTCAAGTTACTAAATGAGACTATTTAAAGAGGTGGACAAAATATTTTCATATTTTGATTCGATTAGTTATTCGTATTTTATACAGATTGAATCGGATATCCAACTCAAATATTTTTAAAAAAAGATATGCGGGACATTGTATATCTAGATGGTTACAGATCGAATCAAATCGAATAGCTGATTGTTCAGACGAAAAAAATCGGCTCAAAATCACGAATACCTCCAAAATTCTGGATATTCGATATGTGTCCACCCGTATTGTTCTTATCAATAGTGCATTTGCCAATAAAATAAAAGGTACACTATATTATTCTATAATAAGCTATTATGTAATATATTTAAGTAAATATAAAATATCTTTATGCTTTATATATAGGGTTTGATTGGTTACTGTTTAAAAAAAGATATTTTCTATTTAGTTAAATATATTACACTGCAAAAAATCTACTTACATTATACTTTAGCCAACGTTTTAGATTGAATTACCACGTCCATGTTCCAAGAAACATTATATAATCCAAACACTCATATCAAAATTACGCAAACCTTATCAAAAGGAATTTAGAAACTATAAACTAGTAACAAAAATACATGGCACCATAAAAAACAACAATCTTCATCTTTTTCATCCTTTTTGTCTCTCAGGTTATTTCCTTTCTTATATACTTTGTCTTATTCATGGATAAATTCGATTGAAGAAACCAACTAAACTGTGATATTTGTCTTTAAAATTAATAGGCACATTGTTGGTGAACGTCTCTGGACAAGGTACCGGATCTTCATGCTCGACATCAAAAGATCCACCATGTTGCTACTCCCATCATGAGTACTTCAATAATAACACTAGCAAGATCACGATTTCATCGTTATGATCTCGCATGTTCAAATCTATAGTTCATCCACACATGTTTTTTTTTTGCCTTCTTTTATATATTACACATATAAAAAATTACTTTGTATAAGGTTTTTTGGTTCTCAAATCATTCTAATTGGTACTAAAGTGATATATGGAGAAGAAGAAGGAAAAGAACGAAATAAAAGAGATATCTATTACTTATGCCCCTCCCTAAATTTGATAATGAATAAATGTAGTCTATTTTTCTCAAAATTTAAAGAAAAGCTAAGGAATGATATGTAACCACTATTCCTTGTAGATGGTGTAAATTGTAAGGAATGATAAGGTATTCACTATTTCCACTCATTCATTTGGTTTCCATTTAGAGAAGCTCCCCAATTGTTGGTCCGTTTCAATTAATAATGTTCTTTTTTTAGCTTCAAAGAAAATATGTTAATATTATGTGAACGCAAGGTTTGTGCTTTTCTAATTTTCTATATTGTTTTGTTTTATGTTTCTTGCTTTGTTTGTTCTTAGTGCCTAATTTGCATGAAATTTCATCTCTAGTTTTTTGTTTCGATTGATATTTTATTCTTACCTATTTACGAAGATTTTTGAGATGTCCTCAGTAGTGAAAGAGGGTTGAAGATAAAACTAACCACACACCTCTATTTGATAAATAAAGTTTTCACGATTTTGTAAGGGGATCACGAGCAATTACATTAAATTTAGTGTTGAAATTAAACAAAATTTTATTTACTGGTGTCATAAATGCTATTTGTCATCTCACCAAATTTTACATCAAAAGTAATATTATATATTACTAAATGCTTTTTAAGTTTTAAATAATTAATTTATCACATATAGATTATTATTTTTATTTTTTATTATTTGTAAGTGATAAGTGATAACAGTCATTTAGTAATTTATTTTTAAAATAGAATATAGTTAAATTTTTAATTATGTGAAATAATAAAATCACAAATAATAAATGATATTTTTTATTAATTAAGAATTTGATAGTAATTGAACTATATTAATAAATTAAACATAATAAAATATGTGTTTTAAATATTTGTTATGATTAATAGTGAATACTATTCAAATTACAAGAATTCGGTACAATGATGTCAAATTTAGTATTTTGTTGGAGATGAAATTACACTAAATTTGGTGTTTTAATACCTTGTTGGAAATTCCTACTAACTATTTTATTGTATATATTATATCTTCATGATTAAAAATGGTCAAGTTACTAAATGAGACTATTTAAAGAGGTAGACAAAATATTTGCATATTTTGATTCGATTAGTTATTCGTATTTTATACAGATTGAATCAGATATCCAACTCAAATATTTTTAAAAAAGGATATGCGGGACATTGTATATCCAGATGGTTACAGATCGAATCAAATCGAATAACTGATTGTTCAGACGAAACAAATCGGCTCAGATCACGAATACCTCCAAAATTGTGGATATTCCATATGTGTCCACCCGTATTGTTCTTATCAATAGTGCATTTGCCGATAAAATAAAAAGTACACTATATTATTCTATAATAAGCTATTATGTAATATATTTAACTAAATATAAAATATCTTTATGCTTTATATATAGGGTTTGATTGGTTACAGTTTTAAAAAAGATATTTTCTATTTAGTTAAATATATTACACTGCAAAAAATCTACTTATATTGGACTTTAGTCAACGTTATAGATTGAATTACCACGTCCATGTTACAAGAAACATTATATAATCCAAACACTCATATCAAAATTACGCAAACCTTATCAAAAGGAATTTAGAAACTATAAACTAGTAACAAAAATACATGGCACCATAAAAAAACAACAATCTTCATCGTTTTCATTATTTTTGTCTCTCAGGTTATTTCCTTTCTTATATATTTTGTCTTATTCATGGATAAAGTCGATTGAAGAAACCAACTAAACTGTGATATTTGTCTTTAAAATTAATAGGCACATTGTTGGTGAACGTCTCTGGACAAGGTACCGGATCTTCATGCTCGACATTAAGAGATTGTGAGTTGTTGTGTTTTATAGGATTAGGGAGAGGACGTGGGGAGTGTGTGCTCGGAAAATGTAGTTGTTTGGAGCGAAAAACTGAGACTAAGCTGGCTGGGTGCAAAAGTAATCATGATTGTCCCTTTTCTCCTGAATGCCTTAAAAACCAACATAATATCTGTGTGGTTGGAAAATGTATTTGTTTATCAGCATAATTTGATCAGTCAAAATAACACACTGTTCCTCTTGCCAAATATATATATTCTGATGATGAAATTCTATATCCACCATATTTCTACTCCCATCATAAGTACTTCAATAATAACATTAGCAAGATCATAATTTCACAGTTATGAACCCACATGTTTAAATCTATATTTTAGCCACAACTGTTTTTGCATGCTTTTATATATTATACATAGAAAAAATAAAACTGTATACGATTTTTTGGTTCTCAATAACTCTTACATCTAATATCAAAACTATTTTGAGCAGATCAAAAGACAATTGTTGTCTATCTCCTCTTTCTCTCACTGTCTCCCACGAAAATCTACTGATATTAGATCTTCATCTATAGCTAGAGGCCATTTCTTGTTTAATTATATTTCGTGCTCCTTTATGATTTGATTTAGATCTAAACAGGTTTGGTTGCCAACGTTGATTTATTATGATATTACAGTTATAAGAAAGATTACATAGACGATTCGACAACCAACAATTTTACATGTTTTATGATGATCTACACCTAACTGCATCACCTGATGCCATCCTAGGAAGATTCACACATAGACTAGTTTACTTGCACCATGTTTAAATCCCTTGTAAGCAATGTTTTTAAACCCGGCCCGGACACTGAACCGGACGATTTACTGGGTCATTGGGTCACTGAATCGACCGCGGATAAACCGCGGATTAATGAATGAAACTTTATTATATAATAATATATTAGCTATGAAAATAAAAATATAGAAACTAAAGTTAAATATTTTCTAAATGTTTTTAAACATAACATGTATAACTATACAATAACAGAAATAAATTATTTCTAAAATAAATATGTATAAATAATATGTTTAAACATATTCAAATCCATTTCTTGTTTAAACATATTCAAATAAATATGTATAAATAATGCCATTTCTTGTTTAAACATAATATGTATAAATAAATATGTCTAATGAGAAAAATAAATTATTCAAATCCAAAATAAACCAAAAGTAAAACATCATTGTAATAAATTATCAATAACAAAAATAAACTAATATCAAATCACAATAAAATAGTGAAATCTTCATCAAAATCATAAAATCATAGATAAAATAGTGTAGTGGGTATATCTATGATAAAAAGTCAGAAAGTTTAATCTGAATTTAAAGAAGAAGACGGCAATGCCAATAACTAAAGCGTGAAAACCAACTTTTAAATTAGAAATTTAGAATATAAAACATAATAAAAACTTTAAAAAAAGCTTATTTATTTCTTCAGCCAGTAGTTCAACCGGTATCGGGTTTTGGGTTTTAGTGGATTTCTCCGGGTTTTTGTGGGTTTTTAAATTTTGGATTTTTAACAAAATCTGGACCGAATTTATTTTGGGTCACCGGGTTTATCGGTTTCAAAACACTACTTCTAAGCCTTTTCTTTGTAAGTCTGCATAATTGTTTAACTAGGTGTTTTGCCCGCACATGCGGGCTTAATTTTCTTACGAATATTTATTATTTTTTGTTTTATTAATTCTAAAATAATATTATAAGTTATTTTTATAGTTTTAAAAAACCTAAATCAAACATTAAAATATTTTTATATGAATATATATTTAGACTATGGATAATTCTTATCATTATTATTAATTTTAATCATTTATTTAATCAAATAAGTTTATTTCTCTTTAAATCAATTTAAAAAACATCAAAATAAATGATTATTTGCATCCAAAAAATTCGACCTAAAACATTAAAAAATTTTACATGATAAAGTTATTTACAAACTAATTTTTCATTTGAAACTTTGAAAAATTTAAATTCTATTTCATTTTTTCTTAATTGATTAAAAATATGAAAAATTGAATCGATAAATTTACATTCAAAAATTGATCTTACAGAAAGAATAACATTAGTTTAGATAATAATACAATATATTTGAATTTATTTTTGTCAAACACGTATTTTCTTAAGGTTTAACTATATAAAATATAAATTTAAATTTAATTTAACGTGTGAGTTCAGAGACGAAAAATAACTTCATAGATATATATCATTATATTATATTATTATATTCTTTTAGTTTGAAAATAATTACGTATTATAAATTTTCAATTTTCTTTTTTGAATTATATACAATTAAAAATTTTACTTTACGAATATTTATTTATGTGTTTTCAGTTTTTGAATTTTTTTAATTAAAATATATTTTCCGGATAACAACACAATATCTATATAGGAATTATCTTTTATTTTTAAATATATATTTGGATTATGGATAATTCTTATCATTATTATTAATTTGAATCATTTATCTAATCAAATAAGTATTAAATTCGTTTTTATTTTTGACTGATTTATATATTTTATTTATTAAGGGTATAAACGATATTAATCACTATAACTTTTAACGTGAGAGCTCTATTGCGAAAAATCACTTCGCAAATAATAGAATAGATAAATCGCTTTTGCCTAGAAGCAAAGCCTGTACCTTCTCCTGTGGAAATATTTAATGAACTCTTAGTCAAACCATTGGATTGAGGGGTTTTTCACACATAATATTTTTAGAAAACCCCAAATATGATTCAACCGAAATTGTCAACACCTTTACATTTTTTTTTTTCGGTTGGTTACTTTTGGTTCGGTTGTAGTAAATATCTGGTTTCGCCGGTTAAGTGGGGTTTAGTGGTTTTGAAAATAAACCCTAGACTGAGGTTCTTTCTCGGCCAAAAACCCCTATTAATCAATCAATCAAAATCTCTGGCCAGTTTTTAGCTGAAAGGTATTCATCAATCAATCAAATTCTAATGGGGAAAAAAGAGAGGAGAGATGGAGAAGAAACATCTCAACACTCTGCTGCTACTGTATGCATATCTGGCTTGCCTTATTCCTTCACCAACGCTCAGGTACCTTCCTTTGTTAATTCGAGTTTGGACGAGAATACGAGCTCCTGAATTTCAGTTTGACTTATTCAAATTGATTGTTTCAGCTGGAAGAAGCCTTTAGTGACGTTGGTCCCGTTAGGCTTTGCTTTATGGTCACAAACAAAGGTGGACTTCATTATTTATTGGAAACAGAAGCTATCTCGCAGGAGCTAATGATCCTTTCTTTGTTTTCGTGTTTGTACAGGATCTAATGAACACCGTGGCTTTGCTTTTGTCAAATTGTGAGCTAACCCACTTGTTGTGACTAACTAACTGATTCTCTTACTGAGCAAATTTATTAATGGGGTCCTTTTGGCAGTGCTTTGCCAGAAGATGCTAACCGTGCCATTGAGTTGAAGAACGCTTCTACTGTTGGGGGCCGTAGGATTACAGTTAAACAGGCCACTCACAGGCCTTCTCTTAAAGAGCGTCGTACTAAAGCAGCCCAAGGTTGTTGTTGTAGTAATAAACTTTTGGATAATTTCAATTATTATTGTCATTTTTAATGTAACATTGCTTCTTATTTCTCTAGGGATCTCATTACCTGATAATTCACAGGCAGATAGTGACAACAAGGATAGTTTGATCCCTGAGACTGAGACAGACAAGCAAGGTATGTATTAGTTTGCCTAGATTTGGTTTCTTGGTCTAAGTAAGTTGCTTTGGTACGTTCCCCTTATTTGTATGTGCATCAGTTCCTCCACCCGAGAAAAAAATAGAGAGGAAGTCAATTGAGCGCAAAAAACCAACTAAGCTTCATGTTGATTTAGCTGATAAAGAAACATGTTCAGATAAGCAAAGGTATGAGTTATGATCACGACCTGTTCTTTTTGTAATTTGTATTGATATATACAGACTGTGTTTGTACTTTGTAGTAGCGTTTGTAAGGAAGACTATCTTATTGAAACCAAAGCATGTTGTTTAAAACAGTTGAAGAATACTTAATATTCTATACGTATCATTAAAAATATATCTATGCTTTTTTCGTTCTGTGAAGAGTGGCAAGAACTGTAATCTTTGGTGGCCTTGTTAATGCTGAGATGGCAGAGGCAGTCCATAGTCGTGTCAAAGATATTGGCACTGTGTGCTCTGTCAGATATCCCCTCCCCAAAGAAGAGCTTCAACAAAATGGTATTGATCTTGTTAATAAAATCTAGGCCAATGTCTGTTTGCATGGTTTTTATTTTGTAAATGATATTTATCATATGATTGGGTATCAAGTGTGCACATGCCCTTTCTGGTTTCTGAACTCCGTATACACTTGTTAATTAATACTTTGAGCATATAGTTAAAGCTTAGTGAGTTGATTCTCTTTAAAGAGCATGCCAGCCTTTGCACTCATGATGCGTTAAAATGTATTGTCTTTATCATCAGGTCTGACCCAAGACGGATGCAGGGAAGAAGCATCAGCTGTTTTATTTACGAGTGTCAAATCTGCTTGTGGTGCTGTTGCAACACTTCATCAAACAGAGATTAAGGGAAATCTCATTTGGGCGCGTCAGCTCGGTGGGGAGGTGAGCTTTATTTACTTTTTAACTGATTTAGCATTCGGAACATTTCATGATCTCTTCGTATTTTGTTGGAGGCAGGGCTCAAAGGCTCAGAAGTGGAAACTTATTATCCGAAATCTTCCTTTTAAGGTTCTTATAACATAAATTTTTGTTTTGTTATCTCTAAAGTTTCATACATGAAGTAATGTATGTTTTTTTTTTTCTCATGGATCTATCTTTTTTGGAATTTGCAGGCTAAACCTAGTGAAATTAAAGAGGTCTTTTCAGCAGCAGGGTTTGTGTGGGATGTTTTTGTTCCTAAAAATTTTGAAACTGGGTATGTTCTAACTCGTCTGGGTGGTTTTCTTGGTTATGAATAAATGAATGTACACTATTCTCATTAAGTGAATTATATTGGCAGGTTACCCAAGGGTTTTGCATTTGTCAAATTCACGTGTAAGAGAGATGCAGAAAATGTAAGATCTGGTTATCTTGATTTGGTCATTTTCTATTAAGATCTCCTGTCTGACTTATTTTTTCTTCTTCAGGCAATTCAAAAGTTCAACGGGCACATGTTTAGTAAAAGACCTATTGCTGTAGACTGGGCTGTACCTAAGAATCTTTATAATGGTGCCGCTGATGCCGTTACTGCTCCAGAAAATGGTATGGTACCATATTGCTTTTTAATCTTATAATTAAATGGTTTAAACTTTTTGTAGTTATTGTGTAAAGGATCTGGTAATCTATTAGTGGCCATGCCCGAAGTTTTATTTTTCCTTCTCCTGACAGAATATTCATACTTTTTGGCGTTAACCTTGGCAGGTGAAAATGATGGAAGTGATGAGGAGAGTGATAACAGTAGTGTTGATTTGGAGGAGGTTGATGATGCTTTAGAAAGCCAACAACCTTCTAAAGATGATATTGATGATGATGAGGACAGCAGTAACAAACCAAGTGAATCAGATGCACTAGAGAAAGATGCTGTGACAGATGCGAATTTTGAGCAGGAAGCAGATGTAGCCAGAAAGGTGCTTAAGAACATGCTTGCGTCTTCAAAAGTAACCATTTCTTCTCATGATAGAGAGACAGAGGAGTCAGATAAAAACAAACTCGAGGATTCATCACATAACCATGTCGTTGAATCTTCTGGTGTCTTTGAACCTTTGAAAACCAAAGAGGTGGCGGTTCCTAAAGAAACGCAGGAAAATGATGATTTTAAGAGAACTGTATTTATAAGCAACATCCCATTTGATGTTAGTAAAGAAGAAGTCACACAGAGGTTTGCCGTATTTGGGGAAGTTGAATCTTTATTCCTAGTTCTGCACCCAGTCACAAAGTATGCTTCCTTCTATGCTTGGAAAGTTCATTCAGGCTCTGGTATCCTTAAACCCAAAGCTTCACATTTGCGTTTGTTGTTTTTTCAGACGACCAAAAGGGACGGCATTTCTCAAGTTCAAAACAGCAGATGCATCAGATGCAGCCATTTCAGCAGCCAGTACTGCCTCAGGTGTCGGTATCCTTCTTAAAGGCAGGCAACTGAGCGTTATGAGAGCTGTGGATAAGAAATCTGCAAAGGACATAGGACTTGAAAAGACAAAAGAGAAGAATCTTGACCATCGGAATCTTTATCTTGCTAAGGTACACACTTCTCTCAAAAATCTCTGGAAAATTATAATTAGCATTCATTCACTAATGATGATCCCGTTTCTGGCCTCCACAGGAAGGTCAGATCCTTGAAGGTACACCTGCTGCTGAGGGTGTGTCTGCAGAAGATATGGACAGGCGACGAAGGTAGCCTTTTCTCAGACATGAGTGTTAATGGAAGAGATGATTTGAGCATGTGTGGGGGTTTCCTTTGCAGATTGCATGAAAACAAGATGAAAAAGCTTCAGTCTCCTAACTTCCATGTATCGAAAACGAGGATTGTTATCTATAACTTGCCAAAATCCATGAATGAAAAGCAACTACAAAAGCTCTTAGTTGATGCTGTTACCTCACGAGCTACAAAGCAGAAGCCAACTATCCGACAGGTCACATATTCGCCTTGTTTGTGCTAACAGTTCAAAAAACACATTCTGTCATCTTAATCTACTTTCTTTTGGATGCAGATCAAGTTCTTACAAAACGAGAAGAAGGGTAAAGTTGATACGAAGAACTACTCACGTGGAGTTGCGTTCGTAGAGTTCACAGAGTATGACCATGCTCTTGTTGCCCTTAGAGTACTTAACAACAATCCTGGTGATTATTACTGAATTCTAATCTTGTTTTCATTTAATAATATGCTATGATAACAAAAATCAATGTAACATATGGTAAAAGTATTCAGTAAAATCCAAGAATCACAATCTGATATTACATTACGGTTATTGATTTGGCAGAGACATTTGGTCCTCAACACCGTCCAGTTATTGAATTTGCTGTTGATAACGTCCAGAAGCTGAAGCTACATAAAGCTAACCAACAGTTTCAACGAAATAGACAGAATGAGTCTGAGGAGAAGCAGGCGAACGGTGAAGCGCAGGCAGAAGATATTCATCCTGGCAATGATTTAAAACGAAGAACGAGGGATGGGGATAACACTGGTTCAGTGGAAGAGAATGCAAGCGGGTTCAAGAAGAAGAAACCTATGCTCCCACGTGAACAGAGGAAAGAACAAAGTAAACCAGAGGAGAAGCCCACACATGACAATACCAAAGAAGCGCTATCAAACCAGAAAGGCCAGTGGAAGAAGAGACAGCAAGATGAAACTGAGAAACCAAACCCGAAGAAGATTTCCAAAGATTTGAGCGATGCACCAAGAAAGAGAAAGTTTGAAGAGGTTAGAGGTGGAGAAAGTGTAAACGGGCAAAGGAAGAGAAATAATCAGAACGAGAAGAAGAAGCAAGGTGGACCTCCCGAGGTTCAGGACAAACTAGATATGTTGATTGAACAGTACAGGTCTAAGTTCTCGCAGAGCTCAGCCAAAACCGGTCCACAAAAACAGAGTTCCGGACAAGTCAGGAGATGGTTCCAGTCCTGATACCTCAAAAAAATCAACAAATGTTGGTTTTCTTAGGCAGTTTTGATTGTCTGAAAAATCTCGACAATCTCATTTTTAGTTTCACTTTTGTTTTGTATCCCCACAGGTAGACCGGATCCAAACCATGGATTTGTTTTGAACCGATTTAGTAAAACAGTTCCGGTTTAGGAACATGTCAACGAAAATAGCATGTTTGAATATAGACTATAACGGTTAACCACCTAATCCCTGAATAAGCAGAATACATGCGCGTGTGCCAACTAACATTCTCGCGGGAAACCTAGATTACAACCAACAGGTCAATCTATTAACACGTGTCATATTATAAATGGTTACAAATTCAGTTTCACACGTTCCGCTTTTTCCGATTTTAAATATCTTTTGAAAAAATCTATATAAACCGCTCTCTTTCTCTGCTTTCTCCATCACACACACGATGGAACATCTTAGGGTTTTATTCACAGTTTCTCTTCTCTTCGCCTTCTTCGTCACCGTCTCGCTTTGCGAGAACGACGGCCATGATATCTTAATCCGGCAAGTGGTTAACGGATCAGAGCCGAAAGTATTATCATCGGAGGATCACTTTTCTCTCTTCAAAAAGAGATTCGGAAAGGTTTACGGTTCTCTCGAGGAGCACCGCCACAGATTCGAAGTTTTCAGATCGAATCTTCAGAGAGCGATGCGTCATCAGAGAATGGATCCTTCTGCTCGCCATGGAGTTACGCAGTTCTCAGATCTGACTCCTTCTGAGTTCAGGAGAATGCATTTAGGGGTTAACGCTGGGTTTAAGCTTCCCAAGGACGCTAATCAGGCTCCGATTCTTCCTACGGAGGATCTTCCTGAGGATTTTGATTGGAGAGATCGTGGAGCAGTTACTCCTGTTAAGAATCAGGTATATTTATATATATATATATAGTATATGGTTTTGAAGACGGTTTAGAATTCGAACGCTGATTGATTTGTTTTTATGTAGGGATCATGTGGATCGTGCTGGAGTTTCAGCACTACAGGAGCGCTTGAAGGTGCTCATTTTCTCGCAACTGGCCAACTTGTTAGTCTCAGTGAACAACAGCTCGTCGATTGTGATCACGAGGTTAGTCTTAGCTTCTATTCATTTATGATCACTGAATGTTAAATTTGAGAAATCTATGGAACAAATAATCTCATAGGCTGTATCTGAGAATTTGGGGATATAAACATTTTATTTTTTGAGGCCAAGGCCAATGTTTCATTGGGATTGACCAAGATCCGGCCCTGCATAGTCTAACTCTGTTATTTAACATGGTTTACTTCTTATCCAAGATTTCCAAAGACTTTATTTGGGAATCACAACTATTGTTACTTTATTTGGGAATTACAACTATTGTTTAAGGTTGTAAGTTATGAAACATTTGTGTTGTTGGCTCACTATTTCTGCAAAAGCCATATACTTTTTGATCTTAATAGTGCCAATCTCTTTTTTTTTTTTGTTGTAGTGTGATCCTGAACAGGCAGGTTCATGTGACTCTGGTTGCAACGGTGGCCTAATGAACAGTGCCTTTGAGTACACTCTGAAAACCGGAGGGCTTATGCGGGAGGAAGACTATCCCTACACAGGCACTGATGGTGGGACTTGCAAGTTGGACAAGTCTAAGATTGTTGCATCTGTCTCCAACTTCAGTGTTGTCTCTATTAATGAAGATCAAATCGCTGCAAATCTTATCAAAAACGGTCCTCTAGCTGGTATTAACTCTCTCCGTTCCTAATCACAGATGATTAACTAACCTTTCAAGCTAAATCTGAGTTTTCGGATTTCCTGTCTTTGCAGTTGCAATTAATGCAGCTTACATGCAAACCTACATGGGAGGAGTGTCGTGCCCTTACATATGCACCAAGCGGCTCAACCACGGTGTGTTGTTGGTGGGTTATGGTTCGGCCGGTTTCTCTCAGGCAAGGTTTAAGGAAAAGCCGTATTGGATCATCAAAAACTCATGGGGAGAAACCTGGGGTGAGAATGGTTTCTATAAGATATGTAAAGGCCGTAACGTTTGCGGCGTTGATAGTTTGGTTTCCACCGTTGCTGCAGCCGTCTAGAGGGTTTTTATTATTGTTAAGACACTCTGGAGCTCTTTCGCATTTGTCCTTGGCTCAGTTTAAAACTTGTAAATAAATTAGGGGTTTTTGCCAAAACTAACCTACAACTTGGTTTTGACCCCAATACTAGACCCAAACTTCAATCAAATGCAAATCTAACCTAAAAGTGGTATGAAATTACAGTATAGTCATTTGTGACCAAACAAAAAAACAGAAGATATTTTTACGAATTTAGCCCCTGTAAGTTGTCTGAGTCAGATTGAGCTAGTTTTCAGTCGTCTGGACGACTGAAATATTAGTTGTCCGGATGACTTAATCTTAAAAATAATTTATAAATTTTGTAAAAAATATTTTGATGAGTGAAAATTGAAAACTTATAATTATAAACAT